CGTAAAGTCAAAGACTACATATGAAAAAATATGCCTTATTTTCTTCTCAAATAACTGCTTTGTGTCCTTTGAGAAGGCTACTTTCTGCTGCTGCAGTCTTCCAATATGGCTTAGCCTAAAATGCTTTGCTAAAATTACTATGGAAGGAACCCTGAAAGGCCATCTGGTCCAACTGCCCTGCAATGAACAGGGACACCTACAGCTCCATCAGGTGCTCAGAGCTGCTCCAGCCTGACCTAGGGTGTCTGAAGGGATGGGGCATCCACCACCTATCAGGGCAACTTGTGCCAGTGCCTCACCACTCTTATTGTAAAAACTTACTATGTCCAGTCTAAATCTCCCCTCTTTTAGTTTGAAACCATTTCTTCTTGTCTCCGTTATACTTTGATGCCCGTATTGAAAGGGAAGTTTTAGAAATGAAAGAAAACTTATTTGCAGAAAAAAAATGTTAAAAGCCTTTGGAGCTAAAGTGTTCCTGCTGGAGTTTTTTGGTTATCTGAGACAAGGGGGTTCTACCTACTGTGATGTTAAGTATCAAGAAATGTCTGAAGATAAATTCCACACAGCATGGGCACTTTGCCTACTAAAAAGTGAGCAGCAGATGAACAGCACTCAATCCATACACACTAGATTTCTTTCAGTTTTGTCTTTTTATTTGTTTGTTTGTTGTTTTTTTGTTTTTTGTTTTTAAATCTGCGCTGATAAATATTTCTGTGATTCACTAATTTCTAGTTTGGATACTGCATGGTTTAAAATCAGCTGAGCCATTTATTTCCCCAGCCAAAAGGCTGCCACAGAAGAGCATGGAATTACATCAGAGGCAACGGTGATCCACAAGTCTTTGCTTTTGTAAACATGCCCTCCTCACCAGGGTAACTAACTCCCAGAGGACTCCGATACAGGTGGGGATTTCTCCTTCTCTCCCTGTGCTTCCCTCTTTGGTGCATCATGGGCGCTGTGCTGTGTTGAGGTATGTTACTGCCCTCTCTGTGAGAGGATCAGAACTTCCCTGGAATGAGATGGATCCCACAAAAGAGACACCCAAGAAAAACAACATAGAACATCTAATTGGTAAGCATCATCTTTTTGTGCATGGTTATGTTTTTCTCAATGAAAATCAAATAAGAAGAATACACTTGTAATCAAGCATTCGTTGTAAATCTCCCATATGGGCTGGAGATGAAAATCCATTATCTGCCACCGTAAGTGGTGGGGCAAAATACCTCCTACTGCACTGCCACCATGCTTCAGCATTTACCTTCCAGGAAAATGACCCCAGGGACTGAAACATCCAGATTTTGGTAAATGCAGGGATGATGTGGAAAAGGAAAGATGTGAATAAATGAAGAATGGTAGGGATTTTCAGCTCCAAAAGGGAAACTTAATATGATTGGGCTTGTGTGAGGAGCACCTAGTGCTCTCGTCAAGCAAAGGAACTGTTACCAAACCAAAGTTGTTTGGGGCAATGTTTGCTGTTTCCACCATTGTGGGCATAAGAATGGGTGGTGCAGTGGGACAAGTGTGGGGACAGCAGGGTTGGTTTGGGTGCTTGTGGAAAGAAAGTGCGTTCGTAATGGTTACAGAAGTCAGAGGCACCTTTTAGTTTGCTATGGACTGCAGATACAAGGAAGGTTTCTGCTGGTCATGGCTATTGTAATCAATTCACAAGTGCAGCAAAACTAAGTCACTGGCATGTTGGGTTACTGGGTTTATTCTTCACTATTGTGTTTTTGTAGAAACTCCCATTAGTCGTGTGGGTAAATGGTTTGAAATTTTGGAATTATCAGAGTACATCTGCGATGGTCTTTGGAGACTAGATCGCTATTGTATAGTGAACAGGTGTATCTTTATATCCTGCTTTTCTCATTGGAATCAATGCTTTTAGCTGGCATCAGGATCCCCAGGACAGGTCTCATGGACGAGTCAGTCATACTTTGTCAAGTTTTGGATGGGTGGGTGCTTTTTAGCTGTAGTTATGATGAGTGATATTATGACCTCTCTGTTTGAATACTGACCTGCAAAGGCATTTGTTCCCAGATAGTCCCACCTCTCTGGATTGTGTCAGTCCTATCAGATGTGTATCATTCCTATCCATCCTCACAGTGGTCTCATGTGGGTGATGGCAGATGATGCTACCATCCAAAATCAGCTTTTGAGGGGGCTTCATGGCAAAGGCTGGCACTGGAGAAAAAGATTTTCAGGCACCTTTCGTCATGCTAGTCATTTAAGTGGAATAGGGACAGGGCAGAATGTTGTCTGCTGGTGAACAGAATGCTCCTTCGTGATAAATTTCTCCAAGCTTTTGATTAAGAATTATGAATGATGCCCAATCCACAGTTTTCATAGATCAGTTTCCACTGATCAGAAGACAGTCAACTGCTGGCACTTCATGTACCTGCTATAGCCTGACACACTCTTGGTGTAATGTGAGGAACAGTGGCAGTGAAAGGGTTAAAGGTTTTCATGTGAAATCTCAACAGTCCTGTTTTCAAGCACATGACCTTAGAGTCTGCATGGTAATTTACACAGGGGAGCTCCTCAAATCATTCCTACCAGTGACTATGGAATGACTGATGATATCTCATTAAGCAACCAGGGAATATACATTATTAACAGTTGGGAAGGGTCAAGAGGGATGCCAGGATCCCAGGGCAGCAGGTCCGTATCCCAAAGCTTGGCCCTATTGGACACATACTTCAGTGTGAGTGGTTAAATCTCCAGCGAGGATCTCATAAGGGAAAACAGCAAGGAGCAAAGTTGTAACACCCAGGTGTGCAGTTAAGCTGGGTTCCTCGATGCAGCCTCTGAGGAGCTCTGCAAAGAGTTTCCTCCAAGAGGAAAGCACTGTGGGAGGACTTCGTGTTTCCTGCAGGATCGTGGGGGTTTTCCAACAAACCTGTCCTCCCAGTGTGCTGGTCTGTTGCCTCGTGCCTCACTGATCAGGTAACCTCACACTGTCCAATGTGGTGGCAAGTTTTTTTCACAAAGTATATATATGTTTTTCTTCCTATTTATCAGTTTCTGTCTGTACATTAAGTTTATTTAATGTGAGAAATTTCCAGCATTGCCTTACACCCCTGAGGTAACATCAAAAAACACATTGCATATTTGCATCAGCATGGGAGTGGATTTGTTTTTAAGAACAGCACAAGTCAGAAAGGAAACAGACTCATGTGGACCTCAAACCTGGCAACCCTTCGGACAAGCCCCACTGGTATCCTTGCATCTGTTGCTTTCTTTGCAGCTCTCCTGGTCCAAGACATTTTTGCATTCAGCAGGATTTGGTTGACACTGCAGTGCTCTGCCCTCATGGCAGGTTTCATGACATCCATTTCTCACGCTCTGCCTCTGCTGTGAGGGTTCCTGCAGCTCCAGTTTCTGATCTCATCGAAGAGCAGCAGCTTCTTGGTCCACTTTCCCCTACAAAGATCCTCCCAGACTTCTAGTACATGAACAGCAACTCACTACCACCTTCCCTTCAGGCACTAAAATAATTAAATTTTGATGAGAAGAGCTAAGTGCAATGAGAAACCTACCCACAGTTCCTGGGTGTGCACTTAGACAACCACTGGCAGCTTGTCTTCCAGTGGATGGACTGGTCTGTCAGTATCCTTCAAAACCTCTATCTAAAGATGGAGGAGTTCCCCTTATTTTTCTTATCTGTTTTGTACAAACTAGATCTCCTACCCAGGTGTAACACACTTTCTCAGTGATTCATATCCATGTGGATATTCTACCTGATCTTTTATTTCTCCAAGTCCCCAGCTTTGGCAATGCCTTTCACTCTTCCTGTTTCTCCTCTGCTACAAAATCTTTTAACCTTTCATGCAGGAGAAATATATATATGGCTGGATCTTTGGTTATGTATTTGGCTTTCAGTGAGTGCTGAGAGGGAGGAGAGAGGGACTGACTCTGTGGACTTTGCATTCCATAGTGATTGCAGTTGGCTAGGTCTGCATTCCTCTGACAACTCTTTTCAGGATTTACATTCATTTTGCTCCTCTTTCATATTGTTTTATAGCCGACAGGCGGGAAGGAATTGGTGTCTGTGGATGGATCCTGGTTTCCATATCTTTCCTGTTGGTGCTCATAACCTTTCCTATTTCCATCTGGGCGTGTATCAAGGTAAGCTAGTGGGATCTGGGGCACCAAAAGGATCTCCATTGTTATTGTTGCCGCTCTTTTCTATTTGTTCAAACATTCCCCATTCACTTTCTGGAAATAAGAAGGCTTTGCAGTGCAGATGTGCAGAAACTGAGATATTCATGTATTTCCACTGACTGTATCAACAAAATCTCATTTGACTTCTTAGCATATCAACTTCCATAGTCAGTTAAGCTTCCCTGGTCTAAAACAACTCTGTGAGAATAAATCTACAAACTTTTTTGAAGAACTCACATTCGATGCTGCCAGCAACAGCAAATAACAGGTACTAATGGAAAAACGAGTAAGCCCCCACACAGAGGGACTATACAACCTAAGCCCACCGTCCCTTCAAGACATGGGCATGATATGACTAATTTAAAGAAGTTTTTAGGGCTGAATTACCAGAGTGATTGCCCTTAGCACCATACCATGGGTAGTCTTACTATCTGAAATAGTTCTGTAGACATTCTGTTGGTATACTCTGCCTACAACTCCTCTGCTTGTAGCACTGGTGTTGAAAAAGCCGTGGTCAGCCTTATTAAATCAGCAGCATTTCTTGAATATTTGATCTGTTTTATGACTTATTCACGGGGCCAAAGTCTCAGTTTTTCCAGCAATGATGTGAGAAAACATAAAATGGTTGGTAACTTGCAGCTTTGTTGACCCTATGTTGACTGTATTTTTTCACATTTAATATGGATGTTATAGATTAAAAAAAAAAAAAAAAAAAGTCATGCCAGAGAGCATGAATAGGATTAGTTGTAAAATTCTAACTTTGAAATGTTTTCCTAGGTTGTCAGAGAATATGAACGTGCTGTTGTATTTCGGCTGGGACGCATACTGTCTAAGAAAGCCAAGGGACCAGGTGAATGCATGCAGTTTTACTCTATTAGGATGCACTGTAATCCCAAGGAGAAATGCAGAAGTCCATGAAATCCTTCTTCAAAGCATACAGGGAATGAGGAGGTTTTCTGCTGCAGGTTTTTGCCTGCAGAACTTTTGCTTTTCTAAATAGAAGGTAATGTCATTCCACAGAGAACAGCACAGAAGGTCAAAAAGGCTTCTAGTTGAAGGCCTTCTGATTGAAGAGCTGTTGTGGCTTTGCTGTTCAGTAGATTGGATGACTGAAGGTTGAACGTAAGCTGCAGATTCTAGAGAGAGTTCTGGGAGGTTTAAATGCAATCTTCAGCTCAGCGATGGTGATGATTCTCTTTGTACTTCACTTCCAACACTACATGTTCTTGCCAGCACTTTATCTGCGTTCAATTCTGTAAAACTATAAACATACAGTACAGGGGCCTTCCCAGACTTTATCTACCCAGAGTTCATTACGTTTGCATGGGATCAGGCTGCAAATTGCAAATAAAGAAACCCAGCAATGCCAGCAATTTGCATTGGTGCAGCAACCACATCTGTGCAATAAACTGGTCAGATTGGAAGTCGAAATAATAAGAAAAAAAACTTTTCAGATTGTGTCTTTCATCTTGAATAACAGCCAGCCATTGGGCAAGCACAGAGCTTCTCTGCATGGCTCTGGGCAGCCAAATATGGTGTAGAAATAGGAAGAATTTTGTCAAGGCTCCTGCTTTCTTGATGGGAGAGTGGGGACTGCTTCACACGACTGTTCAGATCTAAGGACAGTGTTTCTCCTAACCTGAGGGCCTAAAGGTGGTGGAAGACTCTGGATGAAGGTGCCTTTCCTGGATGGGCACACATGCTGCAAATGTGTTATGGCTGAGAGAATGGAGTTAGCAAAAGCACGGATGGAATTTTCGCCACAAGTCTCACGGCAGATTTGAAACCAGAATGATGTCTATCCATTCCCAGACCACAGCTCTAACCCATTAAGGTCTAATAAGTTCACATCATTTGCAGATGTCTGCATTTCCCTATATTATTTGAAAATGCAAAACTTCACTGCTGTCACCTTTTGTAGTAGAAGGACAGCTGTAGTAATAAAGTGCTGCATGGCTTGTTGGTTCTTTCCCCACCCTATTTCCATCTGCTTGCTTTGTACAGGCACCAGGCTCAAGACAGCTCTCAGATGCAAGTGTTTCATCTAATTATTTCTTTATTTCAGGTTTGATTCTCATACTTCCATGTACAGATACGTTTATCAAGGTTGACCTTAGAACTGTTACGTGTAACATTCCTCCACAAGAGGTAACTATTTTCCAGCAGCCATCTAGATAAGAAACAAAACAGAGCTGATTCATGGCAAGATCAAAAATGATGTGGGTGCTTTCTAGTCTGGCAGCTGTGAGCTACCCTATAGATTTTGGCTTATTTGCTTTGCCTCCGCACTTCCAGAGACCTTACAAAACACCTACTTATGAAGACCTGCAGATGCATCATTATAGACCAAGCAAACTCCCCTTACTGATGTGCTAGTTAAAGAATAAAGATGGGATTTGGGCTCTGAATAGAAGACAGCTGAGACAAGAGAAGCAAGGTTGCAGGGGTGCGTGTGGTGGCTCCCCAAAAACAGAAAGCAGGAAGGATGATGGTTACATACTTGTACTGTATGAGATTTAGCAGCTTTTGGCAAGGCTTCTGCAAATGTTGGCAGAGCTTCCATGAAGCACTTAATTGTAGGCAAGAGACACTGAGAAGGGAAGCAGTCATGGAGAGTCATTAGTGCTCTGCTGTAACCAGCTGCTTGCTGAGGTTCAGAATCATAGAATCATAGAATGGCCCGGATTGGAAGGGACCTTAAGGATCATCAAGATTCAAGCCTCTGCTGCAGGCAGGGCCACCAACCTCCCCATTTAATGCTAGACCAGGCTGCCCAGGGCCCCATCCAACCTGGCCTTGAACACCTCCAGGGACGGGGCATCCACAGCCTCTCTGGGCAGCCTGTTCCAGCACCTCACCACTCTCTGTGAAGAATTTCCCTCTGACATCCAACATAAATCTTCCCTCCCTCAACTTAAAACCATTTTCCCTTGTCCTGCTGTTATCTACTCTTTCAAAGAGTTGATTCCCCTCCAGTTTATAGAAACTGAAAGGCTGCAATGAGGTCACCCCACAGCCTTCTCTTCTCCAAGCTGAAGTGCAGGCACTTACATCTCCTGCACTGGAAGAATATGAGACAGTTCCTTTAGTAATACTGAAATATCTTTCAGAATTTCTTCTCACTATTTTTGCACTTTGCTTTTCTCTTTTGCTTTAATTTTTGGTGATTCTCACAAATACATTGTTTAGAGAAAGTAGCACTGCTTTAACAAACTCCATGCAATGTATGAAATCAGTTCTGGCCCTTTCTACAGGGAAGGAACAGGATAACTATAATTTATCATTGCAGATGAAATTCGTGCAGGTGATGAGATTTACTTACTAATGAAACAGTTGTTTAAAAGCTATGTAGAACATTTTGCCCTAATTTAAATAGTTGGTGATGCAGGATGACTTCTTTGAAGTCACCTCTTGGGGGGGGGTAATGCCAAAGAAACCAGAAGGTATTAGTTTCCATGAATTATCAGGGTCTGTTCTTCACTAAAGGAAAAAGAATGATTGTGACTCCCCTTCCTTGTCCAATTGTGCCCTACTGGATACTGTTCTAATCCTGTATGTTTCTCCAACACAGATTCTCACAAAAGATGCTGTTACTACTCAGGTGGACGGGGTGGTGTACTACAGGATCCACAGTGCAGTCTGTGCTGTTGCCAATGTCAACAACGTACATTCAGCCACCTTCCTATTGGCACAGACAACCCTGAGAAATGTGCTGGGTACACAGACCTTGGCTCAGCTCCTGGCTGGTCGAGAAGAGATTGCACACAGTATCCAGGTAGATCTTGGGTTTACTGTCAAGCGTGGAAGTTAGTTCTGGGCAGCAGAGAATCAGAAATAATCTCATTCATTTTCTTTAACAATAGAAAAAAATTCCTGTATGGTCCTTCCAGTTATACTTCTCAGTACTCAAAGTAAGAAAGAATTACTGGAAAGGTATTTCCCTAGATTGTTGTAGAAGAGTTATTTCCTACCAAATAGCAATGAAGATGCTGAAATTATCTGATGAGTTGAATAAATCAGCGTATGCAGTCTTTGCCCAAAGTTGGCTGCAAGCAATAGGAAGGAAGACTGCTTTTTGTGAGAAACTCCACCCTAAGCAGACCCTCAACGGAGTTCTTGTACCTTCTATCATGATGGCCAGCGCAGATCCTGAGTGCTGTGGGACTGTGATATATTATTTGCCAATAACGTGCTTGTGCATTGACAACATAATAACATTCTGAAAGACTCTTAAAGCATTAGTTTGTAAATAAGAAAAGTGCCTACCTAAAAAGAGGGTAGCTTTGGGAAGGGTAGGGATGATCCCCTACAAAAGTCTTACATAGGGAAAAACTTCAAGTATCAACCAGTATCTCACATCAGAGATTAGCAAGAATTTCATAAGGCTGGGGTACCTGCTGTGCTCACACCACTATGTGTGCCAACACCTTGGTAGGGTTCCATCTTCCCATAGTCTGCCTTTCCTTCTGTTGATGTTGGCACAGTAAACGCCACAGAGTTCTTCCTGCTCCCCCTGTGCTCTTTTGCTGGGTATTGTGTTTGTCTCCAAGGCCATACTTGACAGTGCCACGGAGCAGTGGGGAATCAAAGTGGCTCGTGTGGAGATCAAAGATGTCAGGATTCCTGTGGCCATGCAGAGGGTGATGGCAGCCGAAGCAGAGGCCACACGAGAAGCAAGAGCTAAGGTGAGACCCACGGCTATGCCTCCAATCTACAATGCCCTGTATCTTTCTTCTGGGCACACAAGTGCTTCTGTCTCCTCCTCATTGTAAAGTTGACAGTGTTGCAATGCCATTTCTATTTCTTTTACATCACAGGTTGTGGCAGCAGAGGGAGAGATGAATGCCTCTAAAGCCCTCAAGCAGGCCTCCATGGTGCTGGCTGAGTCTCCAGCAGGTCTTCAGCTGCGCTACCTGCAAACGTTGACAACTGTCGCAGCAGAGAATAATTCCACTATTGTCTTCCCTCTGCCTATTAATTTGCTTGATGGTTTGGGGCAGAAAAATAGAGGGGGATAGAGATTGATCTACACTAGCTGCTTGGGTTGAAAGATCAAAAGGGTTTCTCAGGAAGCAAAGAGTTCCAGATTACCAAAGTAGAGGAAAATAAAAATAAAAAAAATAGTTTAATAACCACACATAGCTTTCCCAAAGAGAGACTGCATTTGAGCAAAGAAAGTTGCATGTTCAGGCACTGAGCTGTTTTATCTTAGACTCATCTTGAGATGAAAAGAAGGAAATTATGTAAAATACGTGTTAGACCTAATAAGAAAATTTATTGATGCTTTCACTGCATACTGCACATGCTTGAGTGTAGCAATTATTTGGCAATGTGTCTGCTAAGCAAGAACCTTGAGCTCCTGTTGAGCTTACAAATCTACTCCACTCAGCAGAAGGGTCAGATGCTGGTGCATAATTCAAGTCCCAAGGAGCAGAAGAAAGGATTTGGCCATAACCTTAGTATGCTTAGTATTACTTCTTAACTATCAACAGAATTACTGGATAATTGATATGTCAGTGGAACGGTTTCTTCTTTATCACAGAATCACAGAATGGCTTGGATTGGAAGAGACCTCAAAGATCATCTAGTTCCAATCCCTCTGCCATGTGCAGGATTGCCAACCACTAGATTAAGTACTAGAACAGGTTGCTCAGGGCCTGATCTCCAACCTTAGATAAGTAAAAATCAGCAGTAGCTTTACTGACCTCATCTGAATTTTGCCATATCACTGATATTTCTATAAGCTCTGTAACAAAGGAATGAGAATATATGTCCATGTATTACAATCACATTTCTTATATTTGAAAGCTGATGCAAGCCTCTGCAAAACAAATTGTTCTATGTTAATTTAAGTGTCTCATTTTCATCCACAAGAGGTTTACTAACCCACCTTACAGATGTCATGAAGTGGTGGTGCAGGTTTTTGTAGAAAGAGCCTTCCCCACCTTCCATCCATGCAATGCCCTGCAGCTGACTGGGGGGCACTCCTGAATTTATCCAGCATTAATGCTGAGTTTATGGCCTTCAAAAACAGCTGAGCAGTTCATGTGGCTGGCACACAACAGGCTAGCTGTATATGAAACTGAAGGCTCTTGCAGTGTAGATGCTCTGGAGGGTGCTTCTGCTGTGAATCTGAAAACACACAAGGCTCATTGCTGCCCCTTCTATACAGTAGTGTCATTTAGCTCCAAATTCATGAGATCAGCATGGGCCTACTAATTGTATTGTTGATACAGGCTCATCTTGTTTTGGCTGCAGAATAGCGCAAGCAGTCCAGGTGGCAAATTTTTGTACTCAATAACTTCTGGCACAAAGGCAGTGATATGAGCATCTGAGGATGGTGACCTGCACAGCAAACATAGCTTTTCATTGCACCTCTGCTCCAGAAATGACTTCCAAATGGCATTTTGTTGGCAAATCAAAGGTGTAAAAACCTACATTCAAAAGTCATCCTTCTTAACATTTGCTGCAGATGCTCCTATTTTAAGAAAAGGGATGTTTTGAATTTGGAGGTTATTTTTCACTGTCAAATTAGTTTGACAGTTGCAGAAGCATTTATAACTACAACAAGAGAAACCTCCTGCCTTTGCCTGACAAATGTTGCAACTCCACTACAGAGCTGTTTTCCTCGCTGCAGAAGCAGCAATGCTTTAGAGAAATACAGCCACAGACTGCATCCCTTCTTTAGAGTAGTGCAAATTAATTAAACTATGGGAAGGAAAAGCTTGAAAGATATGTGACTACAGAATAGAGTTGGAAAACAACTCAGTGAGCTACCAGCACTAACTGACAGCCCAGGCAGAACTCTGGCGTCAGGTACATCCAGACCAGTTGTCCATCCCTGATGCTGAGGCAGTTCCAGTTTAAAAACTGTATGTGGGAATCCTATTGTGAGTACAAGGGGGTTCATTTGTTTCCCCATATGAGCTCTCACAGAAACAATGTGCTGAAGCATGAGTGCTAATATCTTTTATTTCGGCAGCAAGCTGTATTTCGTAAGCCCATAAATATCAAGCCTTCTTTCTGACCCATGCAAATTTCTTGGTCTCTTTAATGTCCACTGACAACAACGGAGGGAATCAATCAGCTCTGCAAGACAAACGTTCTATTAAAAAAACCCTTTTTCATTTGATCCCCTCCAGTATAATTACACCACTGAGTAAGGTCAGGTAGCAGAAGTTTCTGCTCCCTCTTCACCAGCATAGGGTGCAGTAAACTCAATAAGCAGTAGAATAGCTGCAATTTTTATCATATTGCCCCCATATGTAGATCTACAAGAAGATATCCCATTCAGCAATACACCACTAAACGAAAAACAGCAACAGAAACAGCTCTGTGGTGTCTCTGGTGCATCTCTGATGTACAGGATTTACAAGAAAAAATCAGGAAGGAGCTGAGTTGCAGTCACACAGGTGGGATGCGAGGAGCAAAGCAACCTTTCAGAAGAGACAGATGTTGTCAGACTTGTTCAGGAAGCTCTGCAGGTGAGCACAGGCTTGCCGGTTACGGGTGGTGTGGCACTCCCTTTCTTCTGGAATTTTCTCCACCCAGGCTTGTGAGTCAAGGAAGTACTGCATCCTGAGTAAAGGAAGTGAGTCGTCAGTGTTTACAGAGAGAAACAGGACGGCACAAACCGTGTGAGGCTGCCCTCCTCCATCAAGGCACCTCTGAGATCGGGAGGAGTCACACTAGTCATAAAGCTTGTCTGAAAGCTCATTCCACCAGGAGGCTAACTGAGCTTTGACTTGAGTTTAGCAAGATAATCACTGTCAAGCTGGGACAAATGTGGGTATACTTGTGTTTTGAGAGATACCAGTAAGCTTGGACTGAGTTTCTATTGTATTTTCGTGGAATAGCACCAAAAATATGGTCTTTATCAGTCTCTCTAAGTTTAGCACTCACACTGATGTCATTAGATACGGTGGGGGGTTGTTTTAGGATTGCAGGAAGTGGTGCTTACAATTTCACTGAGATAGTCTCCATCCTGGAAGCTTTCAAAGGCACTACCTTTTCTCCAGTTCTGTCCTGAGGAATTAAATATTTAAGATGCCTTCCTCACTGAATACTTATTAAGGACAGACTAAATTTCTCCTCAAATAAATTCTCCTTTTTATATTCAAGTGTGACAATGAGAAGTGAGAATAACGAGATATGTGCACGCATGATGTAATAGAAACTTTGAGTGCTGCTCTTTGATATAGTTCTACCCATTTCTTTTGCAAATGCATAAACTGTGTAGGGACATTTGCAGTATAAGGAATGATGCAGCATTTCCCATTCTCCCTTTCAGCTGTGAGTTTTTAACCCAGTGGAAGAAGGGCCAGATTTTGATTCTTAGAAATGTGAGAATCTGGCTGTACATTTATAGATTTAAGCGGCTCAGCTGTTTCCCACATCTGCCCTTTTGACTTTAGGCTGATACTCCGCATTTTACTGAAGCAAGCAGAATCAGTCCTGTAGAAATCTGGCCCTCCCTTTGCTTTCTGGAAGCATTCCAGCAGTTTGAGTATCAGCTGGATCCATGATCTGTGCTAGCAGCCTCTGTGGCTCAGAAACTATTGCACTTACTTGTTGTTGCAATCGACAGTTTGCCCATCTTTCCCCATGAGAAGGTACCATTTGCCAACTACCATGTTCAGTGTGCAAGAGGAGCGCTTCAGGAAATGTCGATGGGCTCCTACTTGGATGCTTTCATCAGCAGCTGTGGAATGAGAAGAAAAAAAACCATGAACTTTCCTGATGAAGAGCAAAACAATAGCCTATGGGATGCAAATCTTTTTTCCAACCTTTTATAATACTGCAAAGTCGAGCTAATATTTCATTTGGGAGTAAACGCTGTGGTAGGGCATATTTTCCTTAACATTTATTGACTAAATGTAAGTCAGTTTTTCCTTTTATGGTGGTTTTAGCGTTAATAGTTGTGGAAGGAGCTTCTTTTGCTCTAGATATCTTTTAGGCTTTCTGGGGTTTCTTTCAATCTTAGAGACTGAAAGAAAAGCCAAAGGAGAAAGAAAACATTATCCTACATTTCAGATTGTTCAGAATCATAGTTCTTAATCATAGATCTTAAAAACTGGCAAACAAAATTCAAATATATTGAGGCTCAACGGTGCTGCAGGCAGTATTAAAAAGTCATGAGTATGATTGTCTTGAATGTCACTGATTTACCCGCTATACTATTGCTTCTGAAGTTGCTTTGTAGGAAATGTGCTTTGTAATCTCCACATCACAGTAACTTAGAAGATTATGGTCTAAATTCTGGCTCAGAAGCTTATTCATTTAAAAGCTGCAGTGCCCATTACTGAAATGGCATGAGATCTGGAAAGATACTTATTTAGCAAGTTAACACAGGATATGAGTATACTGAGTTTTTTGTCTAGAAGACCAGTTCACAAAGTCCACTTGGAAAAAAAAAATGCAGATTACATCAGTATGTTATTTTCTTACATTCTTTCTAACAATAATGCAAACTGTCGTGCACAACTGGGATGACCAAATCATCATCAAACCAGATTAGATTGCAGATAAGACACCACAGACTTCCTAACAGCTAAGAAACTTGTGCAGCCTCTGCTGTCTGAAGTATTGTATTACAATTATGAAAAGTTTAATATTCACAATGAAATCCTAAGAGCAGAATAAAAACCTGATTTAGGATATTTTAACACTAATAAGATTTCAGAGCATTTGAGACAGAGTGCTAAACTGTGAAACGTAGCACTAAGAACCATATCAATTTCCTAGCTGAAGTCTGAATTAATTTTACATATGGTATATACAGACCAGATAAAAGTTGGTCTTCAGTTCTGTATACTGTTTCACATTTGTGAATTTCCAAAGAAACATGCAGCAGATTTTCTCATGAAATCCAAGACTTTCTGCTGTTCATATGCTACATGGTACATCGAATTTTCACTTTGTTATAAGAACGCAAAGGAGTGTTGAGATGAATCAGAATTATTTGAGAAAATTACAAAATTTTGCCTCAGGTTTATTATGTTTAAATTACCATGGTGCTTCTCACTTCAGATACTTCACGAATGTCCTGGCAGATTTCATACTCTAGGGATCATCAGCCATAAATGTAACAGTTGCTCTATAATTATGCAATTTCAATCTCGAAATACATATATATATAAATGATGATATAGATGATTTTAATATATATAAATGTATCTCTCTCTATATAGATGATTTGG